GGGCATGGTCGGAATCGTCCCTCCATTGGGATTAGAGTTTTCACTTGTTTCTTGAAGTGCAGATTTCGTGGCAGGCACAGCACTTTGTGAACCTCCATGTCCAGATTTCGTGGCAGGTGCAGCGCGTTGTGAACGTCCATGTGCAGATTTCGTGGCAGGCGCAACGCTTTGTGAACCTCGAGGTGCAGATTTCGTGGCAAGCGCAGCACCTTGTGGATGTCCATGCGCAGATTTCGTGGCAGGCACTGCAGGTGCAGATTTCGTGGCAGGCGCAGCACTTTGTGGAGCTCCATGTGCAGATTTCGTGGCAGGCACAGCACTTTGTGAACCTCCATGTGCAGATTTCGTGGCAGGCACAGCACTTTGTGAACCTCCAGGTGCAGATTTCGTGGCAGGTGCAGCACTCTGTCAACCTCCATGTGCAGATTTCGTGGCAGGCGCAGCGCTTTGTGAACCTCCATGTGGAGGTTTTGTGGCAGGCACTGCTGAGAACTGGCGACTTTCTAGTACAACTTTAGTACGCGGAGCAATCTGTAGAGCTGGAAGCTGAGAACTGGCGACTTTCTAGTACAACTTTAGTACGCGGAGCAATCTGTAGAGCTGGAAGCTGAGAACTGGCGACTTTGTAGTACAACTTTAGTACGCGGAGCAATCTGTAGAGCTTGACTTTCTAGTACAACTTTAGTACGCGGAGCAATCTGTAGAGCTGGAAGCTGAGAACTGGCGACTTTGTAGTACAACTTTAGTACGCGGAGCAATGCGGAGCAATCTGTAGGGCTGGAAGCTGAGAACTGGCAACTTTTTGTACAACTTTAGTACGCGGAGCAATCTGTAGAGCTGGAAGGGGAGAACTGGCGACTTTCTACTACAACTTTAGTACGAGGAGCAATCTGTAGAGCTGGAAGCTGAGAACTGGCGACTTTGTAGTACAACTCTAGTACGCGGAGCAATCTGTAGAGCTGGAAGCTGAGAACTGGCGACTTTCTAGTGCAACTTTAGTATGCGGAGCAATCTGTAGAGCTGAAAGCTGAGAACTGGCGACGTTGTAGTACAACTTTTGTACGCGGAGAAACCTGTGGAGCTGGACGCTGAGAACTGGCGACTTTGTAGTACAACTTTAGTACGCGGAGTGACTGGGGAGCTGGAGGCTGAGAACTGGCGACTTTGTATTACAACTGTAGTACGCGGAGCAACCTGTGCAGCTAGAAGCTGAGAACTGGCCACTTTGTAGTACAACTTTAGTACGCGGAGTATCTGGGGAGCTGGAGGCTGAGAACTGGCGACTATGTAGTACAACTTTAGTATGCGGAGCAACCTGTGGAGCTGGAAGCTGAGAACTGGCCATTTTGCAGTACAACTTTAGTACGCGGAGGAGTCATCTCTTGCGACTGAGTCATCTCTCGCTGCTGAGTCATCTCTCACTGCTGAGTCATCTCTCGCTGCTGAGTCATTTCCCGCTGCTGAGTCATCTCTCGCGACTGAGTCATCTGTCGCTGCTGAGTCATCTCTCGCGACTGAGTCGTCTCTCGCTGCTGAGTCATCTGTGGTTGCTGAGTCATCTCTCATTGCTGAGTCATCTCTCGCTGCCCACTCATCATACACCACTCATCATACACCACTCGTCATACACCCCTCATCATACAAGACTCATCATACATCACTCATCATACACCACTCATCATAACCCAACACTGGTTACAGTTGATTGTTTTGTCAACAGGTAAGTTTGTACTGAAGGTTGAAGTCCGGAGCGCGTGCGTTTGACTGGGGGACGCGCGTGTTTGAGAGAACCGGAACACTCCTATAGGTCAATTTGTTCTTATAGGAAACTTCCGCCGCCGGCTTGCCCGGGAACTGCTTGTACTTGAGAGTTAAGTGCAAAAATGACTCTCCACAAAAACTAATCAATGTATAACAATAAACTCCCATGATCGAGGTGACTGTCATGTAGCACTCCAAGTTTCGATATTTTGACAACCCAATCATGCATGCTTGTCATAAGCATTTAAGGCTTGGTCATGTCTACAGGGAAGATGAGATCATTGATTTCTATAGACAGTGTTGACAGTGTTCATTTTTCTACAACATGCCCAAGGCATCCTGCACGGATAGAAACGCGCTCAGTTTGAACCAAATCTTGCTTCCAACACGGTGTTTCTTTGCAAAGACTGGACTCCTTCGGTTCCTTCCAACTTGGGAGCACCACGGTCCACGGTCCACGACCCCGGGGCCCGAAACCGGACAGTACCGGCGTCCCGGCGTCCGGCAGCGTTCGGTCAGCCCTGCGAGGTAAGCTCTACATCTACGGTGCACGCCCTGGAGGGGAGGGATGAGACGGCCTCGGGCACATGTGGCCTTCCTGGAACCACCTTCGGAAGGAGGTCTATATTTATATCATTATTCTGGTCCGAGGTCATGAGTGACCCAGACGAAACAAAGGGGATGTCGGGCGCGAATGGGTCCAAAGGGTGTCAGCAACCTACCAAGACGCCTCTTTCAGTGCCAAAACTAGAAAGACTACCAAAGGCGATGAAGTCTCAACCCCCAAGATTGCTTGGGATTGGCTCGGAGAGGACTACACCCGATTTCATGCGTTTTTCAGAGCGAGAACGTGAGAAAAACCGATCGACATGTGACGATCGACATGTGACATTCAGAGCGCGCGGTCTGACGGCGGCTTTCCAGGCGACTGGATGGCAGCGTGGTCTTTGGGGTGTGAAGACACGGTACTACACTCCCGAGTCCACTCACATAGACCCTGACAGACTGTTTGGCCCCCTGGGTCCGAGTGGCTCGGCTCCTCTAAGAAGCGACCCATGGGATCGTGGACGCCCCCCCGTTGTAGCCCGTACGATGCTTTCAGGTAGAGAAAGATCCTTCCATGACTGAACCAAGCGAACATAATCAAACCAAAGCAGACCAGACTAGACTCACCCACAACACCACGTCCTCCCAACAGGTCGCTTGTGTGGCTGGCAAAACCATCACCAGAAACACACCAATTGCCGCCAGTTGGGGCGATCGTCGCCAATGGCTTCGTCAGACATCCAAACTTTGCCATGGCACATGATGGCTCTGACTCACTAACACGGAAGACCAATTTCTCCGCGTCCATGTCTCAGAGTGCACCCCACGTCCTGTGAGGCGGTTCCACCGTCCGTCCGCCTGCGCGTGCGCGGTGGTTCAACACGTAGGTGGCTGGAACCGGGAACGCTGGCACGAAGATAGTGCTGCGCGCTTGGACCTCCGAAATCTTTGTTGGAAGCCTCAGTGAAGTGGGTGGAGGTTGGGGCTGAAGAGTTCTGCACCTTTGCAGGGCTGACCCTGATGCAAGGCTGTAGAGCATTCCGATGGAGCAAGGTGATTTGCCATGGGGCTTCAAGAGAAATCCTTTGTAGGTCATGAGCTAGGAAGGAGCAGAATCAAACGGCACAATTTGGTTTTGGCCAAACTAGGCCTGGCTGAGACATCTATCATCATCTATCTATAGATCGACTTACACACAGTTGATTTACTTGACAGTATAAATATGACTTGGGATATTTATCGATATGTAGGGAAGCTGGCCTCAAGAATAGCATTTATATATTAATATACATCTTCAGTTGGTATCCCTTCTGACTCAAGGCTTGCTTGGACCATTAGGATTTGACTTTTAGGGTGTCATTGATCAAGGTTAGGTTAGAGTATCCGAGTCATCCATTCGACCCCACCGACAAGCAACAACACTTGGGTTTCCGGCTGTGTGGGAGGTTATACTCTGATTGCCATGCTTTTTACACGTAGCATCATGTTTGGGAAGGCCACACACACAAGCAGTCCAAAATGTACTTAATGCATAAACCTTCCTTCAGATCAGACTGCCAATTTATTGGTCAAAGAATTGGCATTGGGTTTCAGAGTCCAGGACCTTATCCAAGTCAAACTGTGACAAAACATGTCCAACTTTAACAGTGAGTTTGGGGATAGGCACTGCGCTTTACGACACCGTGCGCTTGAAAGTGAAAGTGAAAAAGTGAGTCGCCGGGGGGATCTTTCATCCATCAGTCAAGAGAAGCGACAGGGTCATCCACCTGAAAAAACTGCTAAATCACAAATCACAATTGAAGTGGCCTGATTTCACTTTGAGATCTGGTGCTCAGGCCACTCTTGGGACGTGCTCAAGCAGCGAAAGCATGTTGCGAAAGCATTTCTGGCGCTCAGGTTGGGAGACCTTGCCATCTCCCTTGGGAGAGGCGCCGCTTTTTCTTTTTCGTCGCATGGCGCGTGTTTGGGCGTTTCTGTGGCTTGAGAACAGTGAGAAAGAGAGAGAGAGAGAGACTAGGGTGACTAGGCCCTAGGCCGAATGCATACAGAAGTCATCTCCTTTTCCGGTTGATTCACCCTTTAAAGCTCTTTTCCCAGAATTATGTTTAAGCATGTTTTAGCTACTTTGGGACTTCAAACCGGAAGCCTCCCGGTTTTGTAAGGGGTTCAAACCACGTGTGTTTTTTTTCCTGGAGTGCTTCTTGTTCGAAAGGCTCGGCATCAGACAATATAGTGGCACAAAGAAAGCACTCGAAGACAGCAGCTCGAAATTCAGTTGAGCAAGTTGTTGGAAGGGAATCAGGAAGCCCAGAGGCTGCAGGAATCCCAACGACGTCAGGAGCGAAGACAGGAAGAGCTTCAGCAGGACGGTTTGGGTCCGTCGCTGAACTGGCCTGGCAGCAGCGGCCGCAGCGTGGACACACCTGCAGAGCCCAACGGTCAGAGACTGCAGCGTTGCTGCTCAGCAAAAGAAAGAAGAAGAAGAAGCAGGGAGACGCAGAAGAAGAACACCACTCCAGTAGGATTTCCAGCAATCTTTGGCAGGGAGAGGAGTTCGGAGCGGTGGTAGGAGGTGTTGATTCTTGTGCTGCTGATGCTGCTGGTTGTCCTTCTCTGTGAGTCAAGAGTCACCAAACCACACATATGAACCATGCACACTAAACGTGTCCACAGATGATTTTACTGAGGGAGGTTCCACTACTGAAAGCTTTTTGTTGGTGTCTCTAGGTTCTAGATGTGTCCAGATGTCTAGGTCCTCCACCATGTCTGACTGTGAGACCTCATGTCCTGTCCAGGCAGAGAGCATCATTCCTTACCATTTCGTGAGTGGCTGTACAGCCCTGTAACGGCCGTAATCGCATCGCGCCCAGGCCCCCGCGCGAGGGTGGTGCGCGCGCGCCTTCGCGGTTTGTCCCTCACCCCTGCGGTCAAGAAGACCAGAGCAACACAGTGGATGGAAAAAGCAGGATTTCGGGGAGGAAGAAGCGCCCGGAGGAAGAAGCGCCTGAAGCGCCCGGAAGAACGGAGAGCGGGGCCCTCTGGTCATGTTGATGCATTTTTGGTGGTTTTGAGAGGAGGGAGTTCTTGACAAGAACTGGACAAAACATTGCAACAACCTGATGTCAAAATATTGCGGTCTGCAATCAGATCACATCGAGTGGCCCCAATTTCAATGCATGTTTGGTTCATTTGAAGCTGTTTGAACTTACCTGACCCTTCCTCCTCAGCTGAATTAGTTTGTGTTAAGCTCCGATCTGCTTGCAGGTTGGACCCCCCTCGTCTCAACCGGATCCTGACCGGTTGAGGTGCCAAGATTCGTCCGGAAACCACATGGGGTGGGCCACAACAGCTGCACACACAGCCCCCCCATCCTTGCACACACAGCCCCCCCATCCTTGTGGTGTGTGTCCAAAACCATTCCAAAAACCTGTTCGGTGCCCTAAATGGTGGTCCGAGAGTGACGTGAGGTGCCACTCTCGGAGTTGAAGGATTGCAGAGGCAAGACTGTGCGCTGCATTTCTGCAGCTCAGGAAATCAAAGAAATCCCAACCATCATGACAAGCATGGATCATGACAAGTATCTGCATGGATCATGACAAGTGTAGACCTTTCTCACAATGGAAGGAACGTGACTCCCTTTTGAACCGGTTTTGTTTCAAGCCCGGTCGGCCTGGTCGTCAGTGCCGACGATGGCACCGGAAGCGGCGATGGTAGCGGCGAACTGTGGACGCAATGGACTTGCCACATGGAGAGCTTCAAGGTGGAAAATCTGGGACCGGTGGTTTTTCCCAGAAATATCCAGAAATCCAAGATAGATGGTATCAATAGTACAATCAATAGTATTATAGAGAATATGTATTAACACAGACAATATATGATATATGATATCCTACACCTTTCAGAAACGGATTTCCCCGCATTCTTCCTGTTCTTCCTGTTCTGCGCACCACACCGGACGACACTCCGGCGCACAGCAGCGGCACGGCGGCGCCAGGGCTCTGAGCTTCGACGTTGGCTGTGGCCACTCCAGTTCTTCGTTGGTGCCTGGAGACCTGGGTTGAAGCGGTTTTTGAAGCGGTGTGATTTTGGGAAACTAGCTTCTTGTTACTACTAGTAAGGCACTTGTTACTAGAAGCGATGCACTTGTTCCTAGTAGCTTCTTGTTACAATACATATTTACAGGCATTGATCCGATCACGCAGGTTTTCAGTAGTGTTCTTGTGTTGTTGGGAACATGTGCCTTTGCAAAGGGAGGTGTTTGGACGTGTTTGAAGCAAGGGTATACCGATCAACTTCTGACCCTAGATCAGATCGCCGCGCGGTATTTTCAGATCACTTCAGTGAGTGTTTCTCTTGTTGGACGTGGAATCATGTCATGCGCGCTTTCACACGTCACCAGGTTCGTGGTTTGGGCATATTGTTTTGGCAGCTTCTTTGATGTTTTGTGTTAATGTGTCTCATTACTATTTACAAGCAACCATTGAGTAACCCTGCTTTGATAGGCCAAGATCCCACGTTGGCTCCCAATAGAGGCCACAAAGATAGGCCAGGGATATGTTTGAATTGGGTCGCAGCGGTTCCTTTCCAAATCCACCATCCTTCCATCCCAAAACGTTAGCCTGCCAACTAGGAGGTGTTCGTTTTTTATCGGCATGTCACGAAAGGTGGCTTGAGCTGCCTGAGTTCTACCAGGGTTACTTGTGATTGCCTGCTACCTTTCGGAAACAACCCCTCCTCTCTCATGGCAAGCCAAGGTCGGCGTCGAATTCTCCCTCATCCTGGATCAGGACCTGTTCGTACGTACCGATGAAGGTCGGCGTCGCCGATGAACAAGCTGTGCCATGGTGGATCCCTGTTTGTTAATTGGTGAGATGACCGGAATTCGGGACAGGCCTGTGTTTCGGTCTGTGGAAATCGCACCCTGGCTTAAACTCTTTGTGAAAAAGAAAAGTACATACTTTTGAGCAAGCTTGCGGCACACACTACATTGCTGGTTTGCGGAGGTTCGGAAAATGATCAGAACCTAGGGCGGGAGGTGGTTTTTTCTCGAAACTTGCGTGACAGAACACACTTTCCAGAGCTCCTGGTTCTCCAGGACGCTCCTGGTTTCAATGCCAACCAAGCAGCTCTCAGCCTGTTGGAATCTTGGACTTCGGAGGCTTCGAAGTTTGCACCAGGCACCAGGCCTCCAACGAGTATGTGGGCTTTTCGGAATGGTTCAGACGAGGGTGAAACCGCCAGGCCAGACAGGAAGAACAAAACGAAGGAAGTGCTCAGCACCAGGTTTGTTGGAAGCCAGAAGTTAAACCGGCAGACTGGGCAATACTGGCGGACCATGTACTGCCTGTGCATTGTGGTTGCCTTCTTTTTTGGTGGGAAGTGTTGGACAGGAAAATGGACAAAACCGGATATATTCGGAAGATGAAGGGCTTCACTTGGAAATCAACCAGTCAACCAAGCCACCAACCGCTCAGGAACGGCAACAGCCCCAGCAAGCCCTTCGGAGGCTGACTGAGGCGAGGTAGCCGTCCAAAGATGAGCAGACTTTGTTGAATGAACACGGGGTCACCTTGGATATTTCTTTAGGTGATGACTGCTATATACTGCTATTCAAGATTCAATATGTAATATGATTCAAATTCAATAGTTGGATCAATCATCAACTAGATGAGCATGATGGAAAAACCTGATGTCCACACATGCTGCATCTCGTCCTGCATTTGCTGTCCTGGTACTTTTTGGTGACTTTTCAGCGCAGCGCAGCGTGGCGAAGGCCTTAGAACGCTCTGCCGGCAGTGTGCAAGTCCAAAATTCCGCTTGGGCAGCCCGGAGGGAGACCCGGGGTGTTGTGGGAGGCCCGCTACCGTCACAGGAAGAACATACCCAACAAAAAACACCATGTTACAGTGATTTACAGTGGTTTGCATATTCTGGGTGGTGCAAGATGTCTTATAGTGTTCACATGTTTTCACATCCCACAGGAAGACCACCATTTAGCTTTGGGGTTTGCATGTTGTTTTCGGTGTTCCAGCGACGTCTATGTCATTTCTTCGCAGACACCATAGTTCTGAAATAGAGATGAAAACGACTCCGCCTTCTCGTCGAGTTGCCAAGGAGTTCATGGAGTTCATGAAACCCTTCCGAGAGATTCTTCCAGAATAGGGGGAGAACCACAACCAATGGATGTGTATGTTCTATTTCTCTACTTCTAGGGTGTCATCAGTCTTCCATACAACATCCCAGCCAACATCCTCGCAAGCCCATGCCGAGAGCGGCGGAATGTACGCCAAGAGCGACACGCACATGTGCACCGAATTCAAACAGAATCCCACAAACAATTATTGGGTTCAACAGTAAGATGGCTTCAAGACCATTATAGTGGATTGAGAGATAGATGGCACAGACCCTGTCGGTGGTTTAGTAGAGGACCCCCATCTGTCGTTTCCGGACATGGGGAAACGTGCCATTTCCCTCTGAAACCCACGACGTTAAAGCCCAAGCCTCAACGCCTTCGCCCTTCCAAGCCAGGTTGGAGTGACCTTCATGCGCGGGCGCCGGGAGATGAGAGGAAGAAGAAACACGGGATGAAAGGAACTGTTTTATGCCCAGACGCTCCGTTCACAGCCCGAATGGTCCCTCAAAACCTAGGGATTTGAGACCCCAGACACTCTTTATATGAGGGTCCATGAGTGTCTGGGTATATGATTTGTGAGAACAACGAGAGTGATCCCCAAATAGATAGTGGCACGGCTTCCAATACATTTTTGCATCAGAATCTACTTTTCTATTTGTGGGTCGGTCTATGTAACAACCCTACATCCGCTGAACGTTGATGCATCCATACTTTGATGAGGCATGTTTCACAAATTGACGGTGGAATTGCACCACCCGGGTAGCCCAAGAACCACAATGGCTGACACCGGGTTCGTTCCATTTTTGTTGCGCCATCATCATGTTCCACCACTTTGTGGATTGGCTCCTGTAGAAAAAAAGCAAAAGAGAAAGGTGTTTGAGACGCCTCCTTGATCCAAAGAATCTGAACCAAGCTGCTGAGCTAAGCTTTTTGAGCATGTTTTTGATGTGAAAGTTCTGATCCCATCAGAATCATGAGTTTCTGTGGGTTGATCGTTTGCTCCGTCCAACGAGGAGGCTGGTCGAAAAACGCAGAACAACGCAGATCATCCAGGTTTCTCCCCAAACAGTGTGGACACACGACAGGGGTTCACCACCGGTATAGGTGTTAAGCACCGGTGTTAAGCACTGTTTGGGGTCTCTTCCCGAGATACATTAGGCATGGAGGATTGCACCATGATGGTTTTGATAGCGTTGAAGGGTTGATGCAGTCACCAAACTTACAGTCATGGAGGATGGGCGACGCCATTTGGATGGGTTTTTGACTGCAACTTCAGATGGACCATGGCCACCACATCTGCGGCCTCCCTGGCCTCGAAAAAAGCACGACCACGTGGCCGCAAGCGGCGGCGCACCGGTGGCGCTTCGAGGTACCTGGCGAAGAGTCGCAGCGGCGCCCTCAAGGCGCCACCCCTCCCTCGCACCCGCCTTCGGGCCGGGCCTTTGGGTGGGTATGTCGCGAGGGGTGTTGGCTATGCGAGATGGTTGCTTTGTGTTCTGTTGGAGTTGGTCGCAAAGGCCAGCTGTTCAAGTCTTGAACATGATGAAGAGGTTCTTTTGTGGAAAAAAAGGTTCTGGGAAGTTGTGTTTTGTCAAGGTTTTTTAGTTGAGAACCGATGAAAGCTCCTCCAAATCAGGTCAGACATCTTTGCACGACAAAGCAGCTCAAAGCTTTGGATACACCTGCCAAGATTGACATGGAAGCTGACCCCAAGTCGGTAGGAACATGGTCTTCCAAGGTTTGATGTTGCAAAAAAAATACGGATTCTATGTTGGCCTTCGAAGCTACTGACTATCGGCAGTATCTATGTGAATCTACCTTCTGTGTCAGTTCAAGTCAACCAAGTTGCTGTCGATGACGTTTGCACCCCAAACGGGCAGTCCACTGTAGGTGGCTCCATGTGTGTCCCGTGTTTGAACGCGGGATGATGGAACCAATGCCATGGGCGGGCCAAAGTGAGAAGGCATAAGGCACCCTTGAGATCCGTGGGCACCTGGTTCCATGGGCTTGAAGTTAATTGAACACCTCACTGTGAGCCGTGAGCGGCTGACACTCACACGCTTAATCACTGAAAACAACATTTTAAAAAAACAACTGGATGTTTTATTGTGTTTTTTTGAAAAATGAAGCGAATCTTTTTCTGTCGCTCATCAATCGCCGTCCCGCCGTCCCACCGTCCAACCGCCCACGCCAGGAGCGCCTGCAGGAGGCCGCGGTGAAGGCCTTCGGCGAGGCGAAGCAGTTGGCGCAGCGCGCCACGTCGCGTGGCTCGCCACGAAATCAGCGGCTTGGACGATCGAAGCTGATCGACCAACGACACGGGCCCCGGGTGGGGTGTAGGGCGGTAGGTGTGAGGCTGTGCATAGCTGTGCATGGCTGTGCATGGCTGTGCATGGCTGTGCGGTGTGTTGCGATATGTGTGTGTGTATCGGATGAGGTGGTTGGATTTGATGTTTCTGTCGGGATGGTGTGGGAAAATGGACAACGGCTGACTGTCCACGAACAGCTCTTTATTCACAGCTCTCCGGTGCCGGATCGGTGTCCATACGTTGGTCCAAGGTTCGGTCGGTGCAGATTGACTAAGAGATCTTTCAAGAGCAGATTGGGAAGCTTCAGTTCGTAGACCGTTCAAGTGTCTTTTGTTCGTAGACCGTTCATGTGATCCGATCCTTCGCGTGGGTGTTGGCGCGTACTTGGCGCGTGGGTGCTATAGCGCGACCGAAATGGACGTCCCGGGGGCATACACGAACGAGCAAGAACCAGGTGGAAACCTCATGGGGTTCGTTTGCTTCGATCCAACCTCGGGTCCGGAGAAGTTTTGGTCTCACGGTCCGGCAGACCGTCCGTTGGTCGAGCCGTGACTGGTTTTCAGAAAGGCGTGTGAGAGAGCTATGTTTGGGGGTTGTCGTAGTACTTGTAACAGTCAGGCCTTTACTAGCCATCATCCACTGCTACTTATATTCCAAGTGTGAGATTGACCCGCCCCAAAGGCTCATTGGACCCTCAGTTCGCTAGGGTTTTGACCCTCACAGCCAGGGTTTTGGACCTCAAACATGCCTGTCACAAGAGGATGTCGAAGCAAACTGTACAGGCTGAAAGGTTCAGTCATCATGTGCACAACTTACAGTGGATTGAGAGCAGATGGCACTGGCACCCCAAGATGTCTTTTATTTCGGGGTCCATATAAACCACCTTTTGGGGATTGTGCCATCTACATCATCTACTCTCAAGCCACTATAAGTTGTTTTTCCATGTTTTTCCTGGTCGAATCTAGTCAACAAATTTGCAGGGACGTCCACGTTTTTTTAAAAAGGGACCTCAGTGGGTTGTTCTTGAGTTTGGACGCCTTTTTCTCCAGTCCTCAGAGTTTGGACGCCTTTTTTGATGAAGGTCCTTCACCAGTTTGAACAACATCCAAGGTTTGGAAGTCGAAGACTTGAACGTAAAAACACCATGATCGAAGTCGTGTGGGCACGTTTCCAAGCGCCCAAGGCCGTGGCAAGGGCAGCAGGCCAGGGGAAGATCATTTACATGCAGGGTTGATGTTTTGTAGGGGGTTCTTGTCTTCTTGTCCGTATAGTCTTGCAAAGACTACACTCATCCCTGAATCAAGGCCAGCTTCTTGAAACGTTGCTTCTTTGAAAAAGCCAAAGGAAGATGTGAAGGTAGGATATTCCACAGATGCACACGTAAGAAATGATGAGAGGATCTGTCTTTATTCAAAGAAGGAGCGTCGCCGTTATATGGATGCACGCTTTGCAAAGAAATCATCCAAGACAAAGTTCTGGACGAAAGTATGATGCTTTTTCCAAAGTGTACTGCCTGAAGGCTACCGCATTGATCAGGAAGCCATTGAAGTGCTGAATTCGGCTGCAGCTGCAGCCATGACTCAGGATGACTCAGGTGTTGGCAGATGCAAATCTTTGCGTGCGGTCTTTACGGAAGGACTGAGGTCCAACCAAGGCATGTACATTTGAGTCGCGTCTTTTTGATGATGGAAAGAAGATGAAGAGGGTAGGCTTGTGTAGGCTGTAGGCGGAGGCGCTTGCATCAGTTGTTTGCGTAGGGTCGTTGTGTAGGTTGCTTTGGGGTGCATGTTCTTGAGAAGACCTTATCCTTCGGGCCACCTCCCTTGAAACCGCACTAGGCCAGTCACTAGGCCCATGGACCACACAGAGAGCAAGTTGAAAGCCGGTGCTGCTCTCAAGCGGACTCCTGTTTCTGGACTAGTTCGCACACTGCTTTGACACAATGCACTGCAATGGACGGTGCAGTGCAGAGCAGTGAACGGAGAGCGGAGCTGGCGATGGTGAAACAGCATTGCTTGCTGCCGCCTATTGCGGTCACGTGGCTGCTTGAGAGAGGAGCTGACGATGGTGAAACAGCATTGCTTGCTGCCGCCTATTGCAGTCATTCGGAAGTAGCATGGGCCAGAAGGATATAGGAATATGGCCAAGGCCACCGGAAGAGGGTGGAAAAGCTTTTGCGGCTGTCACCTTTCACGCTTCACCTTGAGGGATTGCAGGGTCATCTTTACAAAAAAAGGTAAGCCCATCAAGAGCTTTAAGCCTCACACCCGTTTTTAATCATGATTGGTGATAGGTTCATTTGTAACGTTCAGTTCATCCATCTCTAAGGCTAGACTTTAGAAGAAGCTAGAAGAGTTTGGTTTGAAGCCATAGCATCCCATTTTCCATTACGGTTGAGCTCCTTACCGCAATCACTTTTTATTGTTTATCCGAGGTTTTCATACGTTCTTTTAACTTGGGATTGTCCTATGACCTGTAACAGTCAGTAAACAATTCATCGCCATGCTTGAGCAAGGACTTTACCAACCATCATACACACAATGTTTAACCATATCAAAGAATCCTGATAAGATAGCCAAAGCATTTATATAGTTTCTGTTTTTCTTGGTGTTTCAGCACTTTCTGCCAGAAAGCACCGCAATCCTCATTGTCGTGTGAAGGCATAGGATGATTTATGTCAAAATGTTATATCACAACAAACATCGCTACAATCAACAATGACACCTACATTTTTCTCATTATTATAAAACCCTCAAAGTGTATCTCTCCCAATCTCTCTTGCCAATATTTCCTTTAAGCAGTTGTTCTAAGTTTTACCGGAGAGATGCTCCAGGGGACACGAGCGACATAAAAAGAGCGACGGAGGGCAGAAGTCCATCAGAAGTCATGACCACCCCCCTTTTTTCAGTTTACTCCGGCGCTTTAAGCAGATGCAAAGTTACAGTCGCTAAACTTTAAAAATCTAGTGTAATATATGGCGAGACCTGCCGAAAGAGCAGTGTTTTTTTCTGCGACATGTCTACTACCGGGCTTCGGCTCCATTCACGAAACGCCGAAGAAAGCAAAAGGAAAAAACCAATCCATCACGAGAGTGGATGTAGAAAAATATGAAAAAGCAACCCAACAAGCAGATCAGAGGCTACAGGGTTTCGAACTCCTTCACCGTGTTCCATTCGCAAGGTTTGAATACCAAATTGATATGATGTTTGTAAAACCACTGACAAAAGTTCCGGGCTCCGGAGGTAAAATACCAATGAAGAACAGCGAACCAGCCTATATACGCTTAGTGGTCATAGATATCTTTCAGCAAGTAGGCGATGTGAGGTCAAACCAATGTAAGTGCGCAAAACCCTGATTGATAAGGGGTTATCAATGGTTTGTTTGGTGGCTTTGGGCGTCTTAGAGTGAATAACAGAAGGCAGGCCTTGGTTTGATCCCACATAACGCAGCGACATATAGAGTGAAAAGCAGCAACATATATACCTCCAAGAGGACAGCATGGTTTCCACCTCAGGGACTCGCTGCCGACGCCCGGATTTTTCCTCACAGGCCGGTTTTGGACAGTGATGTGGAGGCACAGCGATGGACGCAGCGGGGGGATGTGTGCTCCACCCCCTTGCCTCATGGAGCGTCTGGATGCGTCTGGGCTATCCTTCCATACCTACTTGGAAATCATACTATCCATCATACTTGGAGCACCCCTTGCTATCCATCATATTTGGAAACGGCGACCTGAGACAAAGCTACTCGGCTGGCATAGGAGTGTATGGGTAGGAAGATGGCCACAAGAGCAGCCTCTGCAAGTCTCAGGTTTTGGGGGGTATGATGGGGTACGGAAGTCTTAGGCAGAACCACTGGCAGGTCATGTGGCAGTTGCAGATTCTCGTGGTTGCAAAATCCGGCCAGTCTCGCCACCTGATTCGAGCCACCTGAAGGGATGGTTTGAAGGGTGACTCGTATGAGAGAGGTCGGCTGACCTCCTTTCAGGAAAACCCTTGCGAACCCCAATAAACTGAGACACTCACTGGGCAGCAAGTGCTACTTCTCATGAATGAGTTGGAATGGCTGATGATGCTCTGTACATGGATGAGGACCTACAGGATGGAAAGGCAAGTCTGTCTAGTGTCTCCAGCCTCCAAAACGCAGCGGGGATTTCATGTGATTCGTCAATCCAGTCTAATGCTTAGCATAGCACAGGAAATGGTATAAGAGAGGATTCAAGTGAGGGTCGGACACAACCTAAATCTCTGGTGTGGGTTGGCCTCCCCTGGTTGGTTTAGACAAAATCGGTCGCCAGGGCCGGTCATCGATTCATCCCCTTAACCGGTGTCCTAACCGGAGAGAGCCAAGCCAGTTACTATACAGCTGCAGACCGGTGCTTCATCATGGTTCCAACCATTTCCAACCAAAAAAATCGACTGGGTACCTGGTTCCAACCAGGAGCGTCGTCCGTGGCTCCGGGGATCCCGCGTTTTCTCCGTCGACCGCCTCAGGTCGCCGCAGCCAACGCCGCACTGGCCGAGAGGCGAAGCACGGTTCGGTCCGGGCGTTCGTGTTGGGAGCGAACATGTTCGGCGCAGAGCGACTGGGTTGGAGAGTTTGGAGTAGGAAATCACCTGAAATATCACGAACAAGACACTGATGGTGGGTGAGAGACTCTTCCCAAGCATGTGTATGGCTCTAATGGTACTCGTAGAGGGCATGGTTTGCAAATCTGTGCGGAGTGCTTGCAACATGTTGCAACACATGCCTGTCATTGACTGCTCATCCTCAGTGGCCATGCATGGCCATGCCAACTGTGATGACGCCGGACTGTGATCAGTTTGTTTCATCCTCAATTGCTCAACAACTAATGGCTGTTTTCTGCGAGTATGAACAAGAGTCACACAGAGCAGCAGAACCTGATGAGAACAGCAGCAGAACCTTGTTCATGGCCGTTTGCGGCGGTCCTAAATTGGCGTCACCTTCCAGCAAAATGGGTTCGCCAGGTTATAAGAGTCTGTTGTTTGTTCGTGTTCTTGCTTTCTGGGTGACGATCGGTTTTTTTGAAGAAACATGTTATTTGTTTCCTTCGAAAGCATGAAACTCCCCCAACTTGCCTGGTGAGAACCTCCGAGTTGGCCAAGCATATCTCCACACCGACCTGACTGCATATCTCCACTCTCATGCACTGGGTTCCAGGCCTTTGGTTGTTGCTTCGCCACTCGTGTGCTTCAAAGGACACACCAACCTGACTGCGTCATCTGACTGTGGTTTTCCCGTTCGTGTGCTGCTCCTGCGAGGCACCTGGCCGCGAGTCGTTGGAACGCGCAGGGCATCGAGTTGGATCGGCAGCACCGTTGGGAGGAGGCGCGGAGGCCCGAATTGGAGGGATGAGAGGTGAACCAGGGGAGGTCTGGCTCGATGTTTACCAGGTTTCTGGGTGCTCCTGCAGTGTTTGACGACTGTTACTGTGAGGAGGGATCGTCGGATCTTCTAAGATGTGTCCTTTCTCCTGAACTTATTTGCAGTAGGGCATGCGAAGAATGGAGGAATGATCAACTGGTGCTGTATGGTTTGGTTGCACATGAGCTTTTTCCGTAGGCAAAGGGATGGTGTCAAAAACGGACATGTTGTGTTTCCCACCTACCTCACCAGGTGGGTGTTCATTTGGGTCTGTGTTGCTTGCCAAGACGCCTTCTCATCGTTTTCACATCGGTTTTGCCGGTGTTTTGGCGGTGTTTCCTTCACCTGCAACTCACCTGCAACTCAATCGATCGATTCCAAGGCCTTCGGGCCTTCGCTTGGTTGGTGTTAAAACCGAAGCTGCGAAGATCAGATGAGTGTGTGGCCCTTCAGTCCCAAGTATCCCAAACTTGAGAGCTCCAATAGGAAGACAGGGCGAAGGGCTGAAAACGGTGCGAAGGGCAAACACCTGCACCCTTTCCGACCATTTACAGGTCGCAGCCTAAGCGCAGCATAGGGATCAATGAGGATCACTTTGGAAGCACGGTGAACATTGCACAAGAATTAGGGGGCTCGGTCCAAGTGTCCAAAACGAGTGCAAAGAAGGGGCTCGGCGACTCCAAAGGCTGCTTAGTCCGCCAACGCTGGCGGCGGACTTTGCGTGCTGTTGATGTTTCTGTGCAGCCTAGTAGTCACCGACCCCATCGAACGATAGGGCTGAGGCATAAAGTGTGTGTAGAACCCCTCAGCAAATGTATAAAGCAAGAGACACACATATTTTCATATGCCTTTTGCTGAGGCTGCTGATGTCTTCCGCAGAGCAATGCAGGCCGATGAAGGGAGAAGCTAGGATCGAAGGACCAGAGATCGAAGGACCAGAGGTAAACAAGCCAATGGAATCCGCTCAATGTTAACTTTTGGAATCGAGATTTCAACAAGCGACGTTGGTCCACGACGTCCACAGAATCAACTTGTTCCTTTAATGTATTTGGATTTGTTCGCATGTCGCTTGAATACTTTCCGAAATGTCGGGCAGATGCTAAGTGTGACGGTATACCGAGAAACGACGAACCCGACAGACCTCAGATTTTGGTCATTTGCAGTCATGAATATTGTTTCAAGACATACCTGGTCATGACCGACTGTTATTGAAAAGGGACCAGCCAGGATCACAAAGGGGGGGTTTAGTCCTAAGTGAGTGGATCATGGGCACCCCTATCCTCCAATAGGCACCCCTTTGTGACTGCTGGAGTATACCATTCAATAGACCATTGAACACGATCGATTTCAAGGCACGTTGATGGAGGAGGTTTGGGACCACACCTTGCGGAAGAACCCTGGCATTTGAGAATTCCTGGTCCGCGCGATCGTGGTCCGCGGTCCGCGCGTGCTTCTTGTTCTTCAAGCAATATATGTTTGACGTCGGCGTCAGGGCAAGTTCTTTGTGACGAGAATTCCTGGTTGAATTGAAAAAGAAAGGGTCGAGGGTCAAAAAGGAAAGGGTACAGGGTGAAAAAAGAAGGTTCGAAGGTTCAGAGGGTGAAAAAGAAAGGTGAAAAACAGTTGCCCGAAATTGAAGGTATGATACGGGACTCACTAACGCCGATACCGGATACCTCTTCAAAAGCATCGAATCAGAAGTCTTAAAAGAAGTCTTAAACTTCTTGTCACCGTGGCTCCAAATCTTATCACTGCACGCATGCTTTTCCCCAACCACCAAGGACCACAAAAACCAGTTGCTTGTGCTTTGGAGGCGAAAAAGCGCCAAGCGCCAAGCGCCGACCGCGACCGGGTCTAGCCCGGTGAACACCCGTTCGCCCCGAAGAAACCGGCACGACCGGACCTGCAGGTCTTGCCGGAGTTCGATGCACGGACCGCCAACAACCTGGGCACAGTGGGGTGGGTTCGATGGGTGGGCCATGGGTCGGCCATCGGACCGTTGGAAAGAACGAATCGAGTGGATGTGGCTGTGACAGTTCAGATCGAGTCGAGTTTGATGTGTCTAAGAAAGGTGTTTGGGGTGGGTGCCAGGAGGGTCTAACCACCTTCTGAGGAGGTACTTGGAGCCCTAGGGGTTGTCAATATCAAAGTAGTTACAAACAAACCGGATCGTATAGTTTGCTTTTCTTGCCGTGCCCTACTAGTCCGCCCGGTCCAACTAGAAGGATCCGCTCCGTGAGGGATTCAGAAGGTCCTTGCCACAGGACCATGACAGACCAGAAGCCTCCAGTGACCACGTCATGAAGCCTTCAAACCCGTTGGCAAAGCAGCGGGGTGTTCTGAACCCGTTGGGGGCCCCTGTGGTGTCGTTCGTAGGTTCCGTGGCATACACCGCCGTCGACCGTGGCATGTCAGGTGATCTACAAGAACGCCACGTATCGCTCCAGCGGCTGGGACCAGGTGGGAGGGAGTCAGAGAGTCGGATGGAGAGCGGTGGAGAGGATGGATGGAAGGAGAGAGGATGGAAGGAGTCAGAGATAGAGTCGGATGGAGACTCAGACCAACTGCATTCATCTGCATGGGCCATACTTGAAACTGTAACTGATCCACACTGATCCAAGGACAAGGTCGTGGGGGGACCGATTTGCTTCAAGTCCCCCCCCTCTGTCACCCCCCTCTCAGCAATTGGAGACCCTAGAATCATATAGAAACCAGCAAATTGTGGGTTGAACCAGTCAATTATGGGTTGAAATACCTTTAAGCCGCGGTAGTGTGCGTGGCCATCCATGGCCTATCAATGTGGGGCACCATCGTTCTAGATCCTGAAAGAGCTCCAGCAGGTCCAGCTATTTGGTTGTCAGTTTTGGTGGAGAAAAAATGAGAAAATATTCATCCTCATGGATTTGTTGAATGATGTACTGTATGTTTTGTTTAATGTGTTTTCCATGTTGTCTATTGATTTTGTTCCATTGTTCCGCAGCTTGGGCTTCGTTTCCTCAAACCCTCCCACCCGTCGTTCTTCTGCGGCGTTTTCGCGAAGCCGCCGAAGAACCGCACGTGCGCTCAGCGGTGCGCTCGGCCAGGCGATGCCCTTGTACCAAGCTGCGCAGGAGCTCTTCGAACGAGCGCTCAAGAAGCTCCCAGGCCCGGCGCATCGCACGCGTCGCGCAGAAGCGGGGCACGCGTCGCGCGCGGCCTAAGCGGTTCCCTGTGACTCCTGCCCAAAGCAGGTCTGCGGGATCAGTTGCTATGGAGGTTGTCGTTACATTATCACTGATTGGCGTACGTTCGGTCGGTGTTATAGGAAGTCAATGAAGAATTTCAGTGAATTAATTTGGAGATGGGGACGCTGAGTTGCGGTGCGGTATTTGGACAAGATTTCGTGACTGTGACCATTCGTGATACCGAGTTAGTTCGACACTAGCAGCTTCACTAGCATGGAAACACCTCAGCTTTTGCTCAAACGAAAGAACACGAAAAAGAACTGCAATGTCCAAATTCAGTACCAACACCACAGAGTTTTGGCAATTCGTAATTTTGGTTATATTATAGGCTTTGAGCCTTTTGCAGATCCAGCATCTTCTGACCCAACTCATGCTCGAGGAACAGATTTTCAATGCACCATCAACACAGAACATGAATCACCAAAAGTTCGATAATTCCTATCTGCGATCGCTTCCTCTTGCTTGGGGCAGCACTGGGCTGGCACTTGTCCCCGCAAAAAACCAGCGCCATGAACGGCAAGATGCTGCGCTCTGCGGATCGCGCGCGGGGCTCAAAGCACTCGCGATGGAGTGCTAGCCGCACGGCGGCAGTGGCAGTGGCTTTGATGTCCTGGCGTTCTTTGACCACCTTTGTCACGCCAACCTTTCCGTCGCCACCTTCGGCAAGCACGACTATGCCCAGGCCTTCCAGAGGCTGGCCGGTTGGTTGGAAGATGTTTAACGAATCATGGAACTTCAGAAGTAGAAAACAAGGAATGCTGCAGTTTTCCGAATGTTCCAGAATCCTATCTAGGTTCAAGGGATCCAAGTCATCTCGAGAGCCATGTGGATCAAAAACAGCTGCGCTCGCAGTGGTTTTGATTTTCTCACCATACCTCGGCACACTTTTGCAGTGAAGCGGTTTCTTCAAGAAAGGAAGTATGTTGAAAGGATTTGTTGCTAGAAATGCGACTGACTCTGTAGGCACTGTAGCCACACCTAGGTCCTAGGTATCAGTTTTCCTGCTTGTTAGCTGAAACATCCCTTCATCTTTGATGTTGAGAGTCTCACTCCACTGAGAGCCTCACTCCACTTCTTCAGGCGTGGCGATGAGGAATTGGATGGACATGTTGGAGGAAGCAGTTGGTCGACCCACTTGTGCTCTAACAGTTTTTCTTTTTGCACAGAAACACCTGGTGCGGCCCTGGTGATAGCCTAACAGGGCTGCGAGTAGTTCCGCAGTTGCTTCGAAATCATCATATGGCTGTTGGTTTGTGGCACCGGGGACACCCTGGGTTTTTCCCACCTGGCGAACGAATGAACAGAATAGAACAGGTCAACTACCTGGGAGGTCAAGCGCCCCTGGTTTGGGTGAGTTCGGGGCCTTTGGGTGCCATTCAACCCACAGCCATATGAAAGCTCTATATATCGTTAATGAACAGCTGTTGGGGGGAGGGAGGCGCGAACTGACCTTCTCTCAACGACCTGCTGCGTTCTTTTTCTCAACTGGGGTGCTGGCATCTATTGAATCCATCCCATCGGCCGACACATGGAAAGTGGGGCAAACCGAGAAAAGGTGCTTTGGGGTGGTTTGGGGTCCATGTATGCCATACAGGCCAGGGATGTTTGGAAATATGTTAGACAAACGAAGAAATTCACGGTGTTGCTTCCGACCTATAGTCGAGGTGCACCACCCGAATTTCGATTTCGGGGGCGTGTTTGGGCGTTGTTCTCCTTCTCGCGGCAGTTCGGCCACCGCGTAGTGAATCTGTTTGGAGATTTGCAACACACCGGCTGACAGCCGTAGACATTGGAGAGCTCAGTGTTGGGTCCTTCCAACTCCGTCTTCGCTACGCATCCGTTCAGCTGGGCTCAGTACGACCAAAACCGCCCCCGTGGTTCCACTGGGGGTTTTGGTCGTCGTTTTCTCTGACTCCCAAACACTGTTCGTGGAAAAGCCACCTGTTCGTGGAGGAAAATCATCTTCCAGGGGCCTATGACCCTCCACTTCCAGGTGATGTGTTCGTCCGAATGTAGTTCTTTTGCACTCAGAAGAGGTCGAGTGAAGTTCTTTTGTCCTGTGTAATTAGTTCTTCCATGTCAGTGTTGTCCTTCATTTCCATACATAATATTAATATATCTCGTTCTTGTTGGCATTCTTTTGAACTCCCGTCCCAGTCTTCGCTTCGAGAACGAACCACACCAAGAGCCCAAGAGCCGAGCGCACCGAGGAACGCCGACCCCTGAAACACCGGACGTGGCCATCCCCAGCAGCGTGAAGCCCTTTGATGCTGCGTTGATGACCGAAGAGTTGAGGGCCTTCGTTTTGGAGGAGAAGCTGAGATCAGATCCGAGCGGAGCGCCGGGCTGGGTTGTTTGTGCTTTGGAAGATCTATAGTTGAATAGACTGATACTGTATATGAGATTTGTTGGTTAAGCTGGAGAGTGGACCAAGAAACTATGTACACACTTCTTATAGTGATGATAGATGATGATTGTGATGCTGGAGATTCCATCGTTTGCTTGGAGGATGGGGTCCATCAAAAGGTTATATACCATGTTGGCCGAACCCAGGAAGTGCACAAATGAGTTCGTGAGGTATTTGGTTGGGTAAATAGACATGCGTGTCATGTGTGCAATTTTTGCTTTAAATGCAAATGAAGAAGGCTCAACAAACCTCAACAAGATGTCCTGATGTCAACCGTAATGGCGTGGTTTAAACCAAGCAGGCAACGAAACTCCGTGGCCCATGGCCCGCACAGCGAAGCACTGCCCCTTCCGCCGCGCATGAGGGGTCGATCCAGATGAATCCCATTCACCGATCCCGGCTTTTGTCCCGCATGGGTTCAATGACTTTATCACATTTTCTTATCAATCCAAAGGACGAGGTCACCGGAAACCGTTCATCTCCTTTCCCGGAGTCCGATTCCCCAAAAGAACAACCCATGAAGAATCCCTTCGCCTCGTCCACGTCGTTCCCAACGCTTCAAAGGAAAGGCCTGGCGATGTCGGGTGAAGACTTCGAAGTGAAAACCCCCGCCACTCGGAGATCGGCGGGCCGTTGTGTGGTGTTTTTGCTGGTGGCCCTGCCAATGTCGGCTTTTGGCGGGAATTTGGGGAGGCGGGGAGGCGGCGTTATCATCCTGCTGACAGCTATGGAGTCGATGTTCTGGATAATGTCCATGAGGGACGCTGAGGTGAGGGAGATGGGATGGAAGCACCAGTGTGTGCTAGAGCAGAGAAAGATAACAATATGCCACGTGTATGCATTATGCGAGCAAACTTCGAAGACTCTCGCACCGAACGCAAATGTGGCAAGTGAGGATCGAACTCACGACCTTAGGATTATGAGACCTGCGCGCTACCAACTGCGCTATTGCCACCTTGATTTTGAAAATGAAATTGGCTTGATTTCATGTACTAGGCCCTGGCCTGATAAAGGTGTGTAGTTAGGTGCACAAGCGGGCCTTCATACAGCCAGCACGCGCACCTCCGCTCATCTGTTCACAGCCGATCCTCCCAGCTTTCAGGAAGGTGAGCTGGTTTTGCGCGTCAATGGCGGCAACCGAGTGCCAATCCCTGGCGTGGTTTGGGACAAGCTGTCCCTTCAGTCGGCTGATGGCACTCAGATCCTTGGCCAAACTGTGCCTTTAGTGAATAGAATATGACAAATGACCAGGCACAACACTGACCGTTGGAGCGTCTTATGTAAAAACACTCCCGGAATCCTGCCTCTTTTTCCTCTCCTTTGAACCATTTTTCCTTATCAGCTCGTTTTGGCCGCTCGACACCGAGGATCGGCACCTTGGATCGGCAGGCCTTCGCCATGACCGCGTCCTACGACTTGAACCGCGCGGACGGGAAGAAGTTCGGACGGATCTCCAAGGCGGACCGGAACGGCGAAGAAGTTCGGGAGGGATGGGCACGTGACATCGTGGGAGTGGGGTCGAAGTGGTTTGGATGGGTTTGGTTTGGGTCCATTTCCTTGGAAGAGTTCGTTCTGAGCTGGACATCGAGGTCGGTGAAGGAAATTGAATCAAGTGATGATGGGTTGATGGGACTTGATGGGAAAGGATTAATTTAGAGATCTGAGGAGTGGAGAATGTGGGTGAAGACAGGGATGGTTGGTTGATGTTGATTGTAATTATGGGATGACGAAGCACTCACAAGGTGTTTAAGCAACAGTTGGGCAGCGCCGGTTGGAAGTGGCACTCGAGGAACATCAGTTGTATGAGGATGACCGGTATATATACCCAGCATTACCCAGCTATTGATGTTCGCGACCGTGGTGGGGTGCCAATGTCATTCTGCAGTCCAATCTTGTTCACCCAGTTGTTAGAGAAAAACCTTGTGAAACATCCAACAGTCGTCAAACATTTGTTTGTCGATACACTTGAACACACAATTCCAATTCCAACATGTGTGTCTCCGAAGATTGTGTCAAAACTCCGGTCAGAGAACTCCGAAAATTGGTTTGCTGAGTTCCTGGCCGAATATTCGTTCGACCCCTACTGCTTGACCAAAAATGAATAGCTGGCGGATTTCATTCACGTACCGCACAAGTAGCGGAAGATCGGTCCAACCGAAGATGCTGTCCGGTGCAGGCGATGTTTGCCTTTACCAACACGTTCGAGTTGCTGGGCAATGATTTGGGACCTTGTTGAACCAAAGCACTAACAGGCAAAACCAGCGGCCAACAAGAGGAGCTACGCAGCTACACGCGAAGTCCTGGGGTGAAAGGAGAGAAGTGTTGCAGTAGCATTTTTTGGTAGAGTGAAGGAGTTGCTTTTGACTGCAAAATTGCCAAAGGAGTGATGATTTGTAATTTGTTATCGAGGAACAGGACGACATGTGTCGTCAACATGTCTCACTCTGCAAAGAATGGTTTTCAGATGCTCTTGCATGCTGCCATTCTCCCTGGCATGTGCTGCAGCGCAGAAA